CTTCCCCCAATTCCCCAGCGCTGTTCCCATCCCCCCAATTCCCCAATAAAAATCTTAAAAAAAAAAAAAGAATGAAACTAGGGCCGGCTGAGTGGCTCAGTTGGTTAAGAGCTCGCTCAAGACTGAGAGCTCTGAGCAACAGGGTCACCGGTTCGATTCCCGGCCCAAGATGAGCTGCTGCTGAGCTACCAGGTGGCAGGATGGCTCAGCTAAAAAAAAAGGAATGAAACTAGACTGCTATCTGTCACCATACACCAAAATTAATTCAAAATGGATCAAAGACCTAAATATCAGACCTGAAACAATAATTTGCATAGAAAAAAGCATAGGTACTAACTTATGGGCCTTGGGTCCAGAAAGGATTTTATAAATTTGACCTCAAAGGCAAGGGAAGTAAAAGCTAAAATAAATTAATGGTACTATATAAAACTAAAAAGCATCTGCACAGCAAAAGAAACCATCAACAAAAGAGGAAATCAACCAAAAGGGAGAAGATATTTGTAAACAACACCTTCAATAAGGGGCAACTATCCAAAATATTAAAGAACTTGTACAACTCAACAACAAACAATCCAATTAAAAAGTGGGCAGAGGACCTGAACAGACACTTCTCCCAAAAAGACATATAGATGGCCAATGGATATATGAATAAGTGCTCAAATTCACGAGCTAGTAGGGAAATGCAAATCAAAACCACAATGAGATACCACCTCACACCTGTTAGAATGGCTATTATCAATAAGACAAGTAATAACAAATATTGGATAGGTTGTGGAGAAAAAGGAACCCTCATACACTGCTGGTGGGAATGTATATTGGTACAGCCATTATGGAAAATGGTATGGAGGTTCCTCAAAAAATTAAGAATAGAATTACCACATGACCCAGCAATCCCTCTTCTGGGTATCTATCCAAAAATCTGAAAATTTATCCATAAAGATATATGTACCCCTAAGTTCACTGCGGCATTATTCACAGTGGCCAAGATATGGAAACAACCGAAGTGTCCTTTGATAGATGATTGGACAAATCACTTTTTAATCGTTTATCCAAAAATGTGCAACATATATTACATATATGTTATATATATTGCATACACACATATGTAATGTAATTTTTAACATTTTGCAATATTCCTCTTCTCATATATATATATATAAAATATGCAAAATTTAACAATTAATGAATCTAGGTGAAGAGTATAAGATGTTCACTATATTAATATTATTTTTTTACTTTACTGACATTTATTATTTTTTAAAATAAAAAGTTGGGATCATCAAACGAATGGACAAACAAAATTTGGTATATACAGAGGGTGCCAAAAAAATGTTACACATTTTAAGAAAGGAAAAAATATTAAAATTGTAATACTCTCTATATATCGATAACAAAAGATGAATACAAGTCACATTTGACTTCTGCAATTACAAGAGGTGCTCAAAGTGGTTACCATCAGCGCCACATACACTTTTTTTTTTTTTTTTTTTTTTTAGCTGAGCCATCCTGTCACCTGCTGGCAGCTCAGCGGCTGCTCAGCTCGGGCTGGGACTCAGACCGCTGTCACTCAGCTCGCACCCTTGAGCGAGCTCTTAACCAACTGAGCCACTCGGCTGGCCCTCACATACGCTTTTGACTATGTTGAACTACTGCTTGAGCAACGATGACCAAAGTGTCCACTTGTATACATTTTTTTTGCACCCTCGGTACATACATATTACTCAACCTTAAAAAAAGAAGGAAATTCTGATTCTGTCACAACATAGATAAACCTTGAAAAGACATCATACTAAGTGAAATAAGCTAATCACAAAAAGGAAAATACCTTATGATTCCACTTATATGAGGTATCTAGAGCAGTCAAATTCATTAAAACAGGAAGTAGAATGGTAGTTACCAAGGGCTGGGAGGGACAGGGAAGTGAAGTATTGTAGTTTAATGGGAATAGAATTTCAGATTTGCAAGATGAAAAAGTTCTAGAGATTGGTTGTACAACAATGTGAATATACTTAACAAGACTGAACTGTACACTTAAAATGGTAAAGATAATAAATTTTACATTATGTGTATTTTGCCACAATTTAGATAAAAATAGATTTTTTAATAGTTGGGGGAAAATATTCTAGTATAACAGAATTCAGCTGAATAAACTAGCATTATTGTTACAGTAACTCAGTGACATTACAGGTTAAATAAGCTGTTGTGCACTAGATTGAAAACATATAGCTTACTGTAACATTCTTAAGAGAAAATACATGCTGAACTTACTAATAACTTCCCATATTTACTTCAGCCTTTAAAGAGAGCAACTTTAAAATGTGGAACACATATTTTTTTCTTCACTACTGTTTATAGCAATGTTTCTAAACATGAGAACCCTGTATTTTGGAAACCACAATTCTTAGTTTATAGGAGCTTAGTAGTCAAGGTTCCCACCTACTAAATGCCAGTAGTGCCTCCCAAGTAATTGTGAGAAACTAAAATGTTCCCACAAATACACCTTGACAATTACAGCTTTCTCAAGCACTAGAATCATGTTAGGCACAGAGGTAGAGTGAAGCATGTCGCTAACCACTTTAAATTACTTCATAAAAAGAAACAGAAGGCAGATTGACAAATGACAAAACATTCCTAGGAAAATTAAAATAACATCTATATGGTATTGTTATAAAAAATTAAAATCTTAAGTCATAAGGCTCATAAGCATACTTCTAATTAATTTAAGACACTCAAACATGTGCTGAACACATAACCTAATGCCAGATATCAATCTAGGTGTAGTGTTAAAATGGAGACATAATAAAAAGAATAAAGATACAACATAATTTAATGGAAAAGAGAAACATATAAACAAATAATTATAAAATAGGAACTATGGTAAAGAAGTTGAATTTGTTTTGTTTTTAATTTTCATTAACAAAACACAAAACTTATTTAAATGAGGAAATTGCAACACAGTCTTTGCATCCAAAGTGTATATTTTTACTCACTGGGTTGAAGAAATGCATTTATTATTATTTCCTTTTGTTGACACTATCAAGTAGCTAACAGATTTTCTTTTATTCTAAAACTGAAATGCTGAATTTCCTATCAGGATCTATTTGCTAATACTTCAGGTCCTTTGAATTTGTTTGTGTAGAATTATACTGAGGTAAAAAAACCCTGAAAGCCTTAAAAAACAAAATCCTAACCTGTGAGTTATTAATGACATGATTGGCCTCCAGTTGGATAGTAAATGTAACACCAAGTTCTGATGAAAAGGATTTCATTGGTGATAAGGTCCCAGATGTCAAAACAATCGTCCACACTTTGCCATTAATATCTGAAAATGCCTAAAAGGAAACAACATTAGAAGTATAAAATCATCTTTAAAAGAGTCAAACACATTTATTTGTTTGTACTGAGTTAAAACACAGAATTTTCATACATAACAATAAGCTTACCACAGCTGGATTTAAGCACCAAAAGTTTAGCACATGAACTGCAGTTTTCTGTCGTGAACGTTTCTTATTTTTGGGGATAGCAAAGAACCCATTTTTATCCGTAGTATCAGTCTGATTTATCCAACAGTACGTCTGTTGAATAGCAACTTTATAATCATCTGCAAACCTAAATGAAAATAAAATGGCAATTAAATGGCAAAACTTTATAGAATATATAACGTCCCAGCTACATACAATATAAAAACTAAATTGAAAAGAACTCAGAAATAAGCCCATGCCTATATAGTCATTTAATCTATAACAAAGTAGACAAAAATATACAATGGGGTAGATAGTCTGTTCAATAAATGGTGTTGGGAAAACTGAACAGATACACACACAAAATGAAACTGGACCACCTTCTTATTCCACATACAAGAATAAATTCAAAATGTGTTAAAGACTTAAATGTAAGACCTGAAACCATAAAACTCCTAGAAGAAAACATAAACAGTAAACTCTCTGACACTGCTCTTAGTAATATTTTTCCTGATCTATCTCCTCAGGCAAGGGAAACAAAAGAAAAAATAAACAAATGGGACTACGTTAAGCTAAAAAGTTTTTGCACAGCAAAGGAAACCATCAACAAAATGAAAAGACAACCTACTGAATGGGAGAAGATATTCACCAATGAAGCATCTGATAAGGGGTTAATATATCCAAAATTTATAAATAACTTATACAACTCAACACCAAAAAATCAATCTGATTAAAAAATGGGCAGAGGCCATGAAAAGACATTTCTCCAAAGAGGAGATACAGATGGCCATGAGACATATGAAAAGATGCTCAACGTCACTAATCTTCAGAGGAATGCAAATAAAAACCACAATGAGATATCATCTCACACCTGTCAGAATGGGTATCATCAATAAATCAACAAACAACAAGTGTTGGGGAAGATGTGGAGAAAAGGGAACCCTTATACATTGTTGGTGGGATTGCAAATTGGTGCAGCCATTATGGAAAACAATATGGAGGTTAAAAATTAAAAATCAAAAAATTAAAAATAGGGATGGCCAAGTGGCGCGTTGGTTAAGAGCTGGCTTGGGACGCCAGCTCTGAGCAGCAGGTCCCCAGTTCGGATCCCACATGAGGACCAGTGACACTGCCTTCTACAGCTAAGATGGTGAACAATAGCTCGATCTGGAACTGGGCTGCTGTGAGTCGCCGGCGATGGCGTAGGCTGCAGCCCTTGCTGCAGTGGGCTGCCGTGAGCTACTGTGTGTGGCTGGCTACCAGCGTGAGTGGCCGGCAGCCGGTGTGAGCCGCCAAGAGCTGCCATCCAGTGGTGGGTGACCGATATGCCTCAGCCAGGAAGAGCTCGATGATAATACCAACATGGGCCAGTGAAGCAACATCCTCCACAACTAGACTGAAGAACCAAAGAACAGCAACTTGTCTGTTCCCCTTCCCCCAATCCCCCAGCACTGTTCCCCTCCCTCAATTCCCCAATAAAAAAAAATATCTTTAAAAAAAAAAGAAAATTAAAAATAGAACTACCATAAGACCCAGCAATTCCACTTTGGGGTATTTATGCAAAAAAATCCAAAACACTAATACGAAAAGATACACCCACTCCTATGTTCACTGCAGCGTTATTTACAATTGCCAAGATATGAAAGCAACAGAAGTGCCCATCAATAGATGATTAAATAAAGAAGTGGTACATATATACAATAGAATATTACTCAGCCATAAAAAAAATGAAATCTTACCATTTGTGACAACAAGGATAGACCTAGAGGGTATTGAGGGTATTATGCTAAGTGAAATAAGTCCGACGGAGAAAAACAAATACCATATGATCTCACTTACATGTGGAATCTAAAGAACAAAATAAACTAAAAAACAAAACAGAAACAAACTCACAGATACTGAGAACTGATGGTTGCTAGATGGGAGGAGGTTTGGGGGGCTGGGTGAAAAAGGTGAAGGAATTAAGAAGTACAAATTGGTAGTTACAAAATAGTCAAGGAGATGTCAATTACAACATAGGGAATACAGTCAATAATATTGTAATAATTATGTATAGTGCCAGGTGAGTACCAGACTAATTGGAAGGATCACTTCATAAATTATATAAATGTCTCACTACTATGCTGTACACCTGAAACAATTATATAAAATAATATTGAATGTGAACTGTAATTGAAATAATTAATTTAAAAAAACTAAATTGAGAGAGTCCAGGTATCTTCGCACTCAAAGATACCATTTTTCCCAAAGACAACACCCACAACAAATTACATTCAGTAATTCTGATAGAAAATAAGCCATTAAATCTTAGAAGCAACCCCCTTCAAAAGATGAGACATCATCTAACCATCTACCTCTTACTACTTTCCATCCCTGTGCTCAAACATTACATAAATCATAGCAGAGCCAGAAAGAATTAAAATCCAGGCCTCCTAACTCCTAGTCCAGAGTTTTTTGCACTCTGTTACATCATTAGTTATAAAATATATAACAGGATTATTATTAGAGAAACAAAAAAGTGGTTTATACTTTATCATTACATGAGAAAACAGAAAATAGAAAGAAAATTTTTACTGCAAGTTTAAAAAGTTTAGGAAACTATTGGGTTGTCAGAAAAGTCATGACGTATCTTGTCTATGTTTTCCAAAGGTCATTTATTTATATAAAGAACAAAGATCAATCAATGATATATTGCCCGTTTTGTTCGATAACCTTTTGCCATCTTTCAGTGAGCTTCATAATTCCTTGTTCATAGAAGGACCTGTCTTTATTTGCAAAAAACTGAACAAGGTGCTGATTTACAGCCTCATCTGAATTGAACGTTATACCACGCAAGGAGTTTTGAAGAGAGCGAAACAAGTGGAAGTCTGACAGAGCAAGATCAGGCGAGTATGGTGGGTGTGGCACACATCCCATCCAAGCTTCAATAATTTTTGATGGGTGACCAAACTTGTGTGTGGTCTCGCATGGTCATGATGGAACACAACTCTTTTACAATTAACCAGCTCTGGGTATTTCTGGATGGATTCATTCAAACTGTCCAACTGCCGACAGTACACATTCGAATTGATTGTTTGGTTCCTTGGTAGGAGCTGGAAAAACATGACACCTTTAAAAACCCACCACACTGAAAGCATAACCTTCCTCTGATGAATGTCTGGTTTCAATGTTGTTTGAGGCTAATCATCACGTGGGGACCAAGACCGTTTGCGCACCACATTGTTGTAAACAATCCACTTCTCATCACCAGTTATCGGTCACTTCAAAAAAGGATCGTTTTCATTATGTTTAACGAGCATATTGCAGATGTTTATACATGCCGTCAAATGAACTGCTTTTGAGTTCATGCGGAACCCAAATATCAAGCTTGCTTACATATTGCAGCTTCTTTAGATGGTTGTGAATGTTTGAATGATGGATGTTCAATGTTTCTGCAATCTCTTGTGTCGTGTAACATGGGTTTGACTTGATCAATGCCTTTATTTTGTTGTCATCAACCTCGGTGGGCCTCCCTGACCAAGGAGCCATCGTTGAAACCAAAATCACCAGCATGGAATTTCGTGAACCATCATTGGCACTGACGTTCTTGTAGAGCATAGTCACTGTAAACTTGATGCAACTTTTCACACACGCGTTCTTGCCTTTATGGAAGTAAAACAGTAAAATATGGCGAAAATGGACAATTTGCTCTTCCATCTTCAATTTGTAAAATCTCCAGAACTCAACCAAATCGCTCATTTTTTTTTTTAGAATGAAGCTAGAACTGTCAGCTGTCAAATGACATAGCAATAACATAAATGTGAATGACGTTAGTACTTCCAAAAATGAACTAGCGCCATCTGTTGCAAACATGCATCATGACTTTTCTGATGACCCAATATTATCATATAAAAATTTTAAGTTCCTTTAAAATATGGGTCTCAATCTTCATCTATTTTTGTTTGTTTGTTTTTAGCTGAGCCATCCTGCCACCTGTTGGCCGCTCAGCGGCAGCTCAGCCCGGGCCAGGACTTGAACCACTGTTGCTCAGAGCTCACACTCTTGAGCGAGCTCTTAACCAACTGAGCCACTCTTCATCTATTTTTAACAAAGGTACTGAACCAGATGATCTCTGTAATCCCATCATCTTAATATTTCTGTCAATATGAAGCTATAGACACCTAGGCTTAAACAGCATAAAATGTGGTATTCTCTACCATGTCCTCATAATATTGACGGTTAATTTTGCCCTTAATTCTCAAAGTTCAAGACAGGAACCCTACAATCTGTGGAGAGAATCTTATAAAAATACTGAGAGCTAAAAACTATAAAACTCTTAGAAGAAAACATAAGGGAAAATCTTCATGAAATCAGACTTAACCATGTTTCTTGGATATATCAAAAGCACAAGTCACACACACACACAAAATTGGACTTCATCAAAATTTAAAAACTTTTGTGTATCAAAGGACACAATCAAGAGAGTGAGGAGACAACTCACAGAATGGGAGAAAATACTTGCAAAGCTTGTAACTGACACAAGATAAATATGCAGAATATATAAATAACTCCTACAACTCAACAACAATAACAACAAAAAACAAGTTCAAAAATGGGCAAAGGATTTGAATAGATATTTATCCAATAAAGATATACAAATGGACAATAAGCACACAATAAGATACTTAACATCTCGGGGCAGCTGGTTAGCTCAGGTGGTTAGAGCGCAGGCTAGTAACACCAAAGATGCCGGTGTGATTCCCACATAGGCCAAGGAGCTGCACCCCCCACAACTAGATTGAAGACAACTACTTGACTTGGAGCTGATGGGTCTCAATAAAATTAAAAAAAAAAAAGATGTTCAACATCTCTAGCCATTAGGAACACATAAATCAAAACCACAAGGAGATATCCATTAGGATGACTATTATCCAAAAAAACAGAAAAGGACATGTGTTGGCAAGAATGTGGAGAAAATGGAAATCTTGTCCATAATTATGGAAATCGAAAATGTGCATTTGCTATGGAAAACAGTAAGTTGGTTCCCCAAAATTTAAATACAGAATTACCATATGATCCTGCAATTCAACTGCTAGGTATGTACCCAGAACTGAAAACAGGGACTCAAAATGATACTTGTATATCAATGTTCACTGCAGCATTATTCACAATAGGCAAAAGGTGCAAACAATTCAAATGTACATCAACATAGATGGATAAACAAAATGTGGTATGTGCATACAATGGAATATTATTCTGCCATTAAAAGGAATAACATTCTGATGCATGTTACTACATGATTGAACCTTGAAAACATTCTGCTAAGTGAAATAAGCCAGACACAAAAGAACAAATATGTATGAGTCCACTTATATGAGATACCTAGAAAAGGCAAATTTATAGAGATAAAAGTAGAATAGAGGTTACCAGAAGTTGTGAAAAGAGGGAATCTGGAAATATTTGGCAGATACTGTTTCATGGATATAGAACTTCTTTATGGGATGATGAAAAAGTTTTGAAAATGGACAGTGGTGATGGTTGCACGACAATGTGAATCTACTTAATGCTAATGAAAGGTACACTTAAAAATGATTAAGACGATAAATTTTATGTTCTGTATATATTACCACAATTTAAAAAAACCCTAGAACCAGGTAGCACTATAACTTAACAAGGGGTAGCGTGTGGGAACTTGACTGCTTTTCATTTTCCACATTGCACTAATCAGAGGCTTTATGCAATAACAAAGAGACTTTCCAGTACTGGAAGAAACATACCTAAATCATACTTACGAGAAAACTTAAATGCTTAAGTTTAGTACTAGAGGACAATACATTTAATGCTGAATTAATTAAATGTATTTATTCACTGATTTCAGTACTAATTTTCATTAATAAAGACTAATTTCGATGGGGCGGCCAGTTAGCTGAGTTGGTTAGAGCACAGTGCTCATAACACCAAGGTTGCCGGTTCAATCCCTGCACGGGCCATTGAGCTGCTTCCTCCACAACTAGGTTGAAACAACTACTTGACTTGGAGCTGATGGTTCCTGGAAAAACACACTGTTCTCCAATTAAAAAAAAAAAAAGACTAATTTCAATTAACCTGACTCTGTACCAGTAAGAGCAATATTTATGCCACTTATTTATGATTATCCTATATACTCATACAAAATTAGAAAGAATTAAACACATGTTAACACCCAATAAGGCTAACATTTTTAAGAGGAAAAATACAGATCAGATATCTGCACTTACCTGCTCTCTTGTCTAAAAAGATAGTCAAGTACCATAAAAAGTCCTTTGAGCATTATTTGAGTTGATGCACTAATAATAGGTACTTCTATTGTCTCCTCTTTACCATGAATTGATGAGACTTTTTCTTCTTTTTGAAGGACAGCAGAAAAATGTCCCTGTAAGAAATTACCATATTAAGTATACTTGGGCTGGGGGGAAGGGTGGAGGTAAAACAAACTTCTCAAAACTATAATGAAACCTAAATGAAATATACATTGAAAATTTAGGCAAACATTATTAATACACAAGTGCTAACAATACGGTTTAGATTCCCACAAATTCTCTTCAGAGTCAAAGGCACTGTAATAGAGTTACACATTTAGGAGGTTCATTACTTCTTCAGGTATTTATGGTATTATTTAGTGTCTTTCAAAAGTAATGAACTAAATAAGAATGTACCTACCAAATGGTTTCTCCAAAGAGCTTAAAAGAGTTGCTATGCCACCTAAATACCTGAATTATTTCCAGAGTATTCTGATGCTGAGAATAATATGAGTATATTATTTTATACTAAAGGAATGACTCAAGGAAACAATACATGCTAAATACGAAATGTATGTTAACTGGTTCATTAGTTTTTATGTGTCTCATAAGTATTAATACAGATGGAAGTGTGGACCTTAAGACAAAATTCTTTTTTAAAAAAGTACGCTTTCCCACATTGTGAAACATAAAATTCTGAATACTGAAGCAATAAAATATACTGGTGACAACTCTGATGTTTGACAATAAAATATATGTTCAATGAAAATAAAATGTGGAAATAATTAAGATAAATAAGATAGATAAATTTTAATATTCGGATATACTGTAAAGTAATACACATCTATAAGAGTAACATTAATCTCTGCTGAACAAAAGATTAAAGAATACAAAAGATTTTTTAACAAGAAACAAGGAACTATAAAGAAAGACAAAATTTGGGAAAATGTTCAGCATTACTATTATTAATAAAAACCAAATATTAAATTGTTCTTTTAAAAAAAATCAAGCATATCTGTCATATCTTATAGGAATGCTACTGTTCCTCTCCAACACTGGCAGAACACTGGCAATTTACTCTAGAAAACTACAGAACTCTTGAACTACTGAAGGTGAGGAGGCATTGTACTAAAAACAGAAGGACTGAATGAAATTCTACATATTGAATCATGAGATCCTGGTTAAGAATCCTAACTTCTGGTTAAGTTACCTAAACACTGACAGCTGAGTTTATAGATAAATAGAAAACTAAGCAAGTGGGGGAGGGGGACTACAAACAGGTAATTATTACTTCATAGGAAATACAAAGTTGTATAAAAAATTAATCAAATAATGTTATTATCATGAGCTATAATAATACATATGCAAGATGATATACACGCTGAATATTAGAGAGTGGAGAGAGGGAAAGAAAGATGGCTGCCGCCAAATCATCATACTTAATAGAAAGTCAATAGAGAATATCTAAAATTGAAAACTCAAAAGTAGCAGAACCCACGTGTTATTTAGAAAATTTGGGTTAAATATCAGAAGAAACCACTATATAAGAGTTAAAAGTACAATTGGGAAGTGAAAATTTGGATTGAAAAAGAGTGGGGCAGATGAATGCTTTTCTTGATAGTACTAATTGACTCACATGTTACTTTGGTTAAAAATTAACTTCTAAAAAATTTAATAATCACAATGATGAATTGCTAACTAGGCTTAGAAGAAATTTCCTCAACCTAATAAAAAGATAGCTCTAAAATTCTAGAGCATCCATGGAATGAGAAAAAAATATTTGCAAATCGTACACTTTATAGTGTTTATATCCAAAATATATAAAGAACTCTTACAGTCAACAATAAAAGACAACCCAATTTCAAAATGGGTAAAGGATTTGAAGTATAAAGGGATAATCAGCACTTGAAAATGTGTTCAGCATTATGAGTCATTAGGGAAATGAAAAGCAAACTACACTGAGATACCACTTCATCCCCCTTAAGAACAACATAATAATAAAAAAGATAATAACAAGAGTTGAAGATGTTAAAGAAATTACAATGTTCCTACATTGTTGATGGGACTGTAAAATGGTGTAGCCCCTTTGGAAATCAGTTTGGCAGTTCCTCAAAAAGTTAAACTCAGGGATTCTGGTCAAGATGGCGGAGGAGGGATTGTCAACAAAATTTTATTTAAAAAAAAGTTAAACATAAATTTTTGAGGAACCCCCACACTGCCTTCCATAGCGGCTGCACCAATATGCATTCCCACCAACAGTGTATGAGGGTTCTTTTTTCTCCATAGCATCTCCACAGTTGTTATTATTTGTCTTGTTGATGATATCCATTCTAACTGGTGTGAGGTGATATCTCATTGTGATTTTTATTTGCATTTCTCTGATATTAGTGATGTTGAGTATTTTTTCATATGTCTATTGGCGATCTGTATGTCCTCTTGGAGGAATGTCCATTAAGGTCCTCTGCCCATTTTTTAATTGGATTGTTTGTTTTTTTGGTATGAGTTCTTTGTATATTTTGGATATTAGCCTCTGATTGGAGGTGTTGTTTGCAAAAATCTCTCAATTTGGTTGGTTACCTCTTTCACACATGGATTTTTGACTGTGCAAGGGTCAGCACCCCAACCCACGCATTGCTCAAGAGTCAACTGTTGACTCTTAAATTTTATAAAATTATAAAATTATAAAGTTTAAAAGGGTAAATTTTACGGCATGTGACATATCTCAATAAAGGTATTAAGAAATAAAAATACAGAATTAAAAAAATACAGTAAACATATTACTAAACGATGTAACACTAGTAATAAAGTCCTTTTAAAGTAAGCAACAAGACCAGGACATCTTTTTCACTTCCTGTGATGAACAATGTACTGCAAGTTTAAGCCACAAAGTAAAAAATAAATAAGATGTGAAAGAATCGAAAAGAAAGAAAACAGTCACTACTCATGGACAGTGTGATTATCTAGATAGAAAATTTAAAAATCTACAGATCAACCTATAAGATAGTTCAGCAAAGTGGTTGATTACAAGATCAATAAAAAATCAACTACCATTCTTATACACCAATAACAATTAGAAAATGCAATTTTTTAAATATACCATTTGAAAAAAAAACACTTGACTTTACTTAGAAATAAATCTAACCAAAAGCACCTAAGATTTTTTTTTTTTGTAAGAAGAGAAGTGTCTCCCTTTATTTTACAGCATGCCCCTTTTTATAGTGGGCAGTTGACCATTATCTCATCAGTAAAAAGTTCTTTTACATAGTTTAGATCAGGGTTTTACTTCCTGGTAATTCTTATGCTCCAGGGTACAGCTTGCCTTTTTCTTATGCTAAAAGATCAACTTATCTTAACTGAAGCACCTAAGATTTTAAAAGATAAAATTATAAAATGTTATTGAAAGGTATATAGAAAGAGAATGAAGAACTATTTCTTGTTCATGAATGGAGAAACTCCGTATTGTAAATATCAATTCTTTTTAAATTAATCCATAAATTCAATATAATTCAAAATTCCAACACTATTCTAATGGAAATTTACAAGTGAATTCTAAAGTTCAAATGGCAGATAAGGCCAAGAACATCCGAGATCATCCCAAAGGAAAAGAACAAAGTGAGGAGATATGACCTACCAGATATGGGCATTTTTCTAAAAGTAATTAACAAATATGACAGTTATCATAGAACAGAATCATAGAACAGAATAGAGTACAGAAATAAATTCACACATAAATGAAAATTAGATATATGACAGAAATGGCATTACAAATCAGAGGGAAATGACGGACTATTCACTAAATGATACTGAGAAAATTCAATATCCATACAGGAAGTAAAATGGATTCCCTACCTCACAACAAACAGAAATGAATCCCAGACTGATTGAAAAGCTTTGTAAAAGGTAGTGTGGAGGTTCCTCAAAAAATTAAGAATGGAATTACCATATGACCCAGCAATCCCTCTCCTGGGAACATACAAAAAAAAAATCTAAAAACATTTATCTGTAAAGATATATGTGCTCCAATGTTCATTGCAGCTTTATTTATGGTGGCCAAGAAGTGGAAACAACCAAAGTGTCCTTCAATAGATGACTGGATAAAGATGTGGTATATATACACAATGGAATACTATTCTGCCATAAGATGAAATAGTGCCATTTGTGACAACATGGATGGATTTTGAGATTATTATGCTCAGCAAAATAAGTCAGAAAAAGTTGAGAACCATATGATTTCACTCATATGTGAGATATAAAACTGAAAACAACAAAGGAAGAAGACAAACAAAGAAAGAAACAAAACCTCAAGACACAGACAATGGTTTAGCAGTTACCAGAGGGTAAGGTGGGGAAGGGCAAATGAGGGTAAACAGGGTCAAATATATGGTGATGGAAGGAGAACTGACTCTGGGTGGTGAACACACAATGTGATATATAGATGATGTATTACAGAATTGTACACTTGAAACCTATGTAACTTTACTAACCATTGTCACTCCAATAAACTTTAATAAAAAAATACTTTAACTTTTAGAAGAAAATGTAGCACAGGATAAGGAATGATTGCTGAAACAAAACTCAAATATCACAATTCATAAAAAAAAAAAAACGCTAAATTTGAATGCACTAAAATAAAGAACTTTTGGAAAAAAACACACCATAAACAAACCATAGATGAATACACAAGCAATGCAATAGCAACAAAGAACTAGTCTTTAGAATATATAAATGAAATAATCAGAGAAACATACAAAGATATATTTTCAAGGATGTTCATATCAGAATTATTTCCTATTCTGGGAAAACTGGCAACAACCAATATTTCAAATGCCAGATTAATCAAATAATTTAGACTATGTGCATGCACAAAAATGCTACACTGCAACTAAAAATCATGAAAAATAATCTTTTTCAAAATAGAAAAATACTCATAATATATCGTTAAATAAAAAGAGGCTACAAATAAAAAGGTATACTATCGAATATGTATTTATGTTAAGCAAATACATACACAGGAGGAGACACAGGTAGACGTAATTCCAACAGTTAATAATGATCACCTTTAAGTTTATGAGTCTTGTTTTCATTTGTACCTTTCTGTATTTTCCAACATTTTTCTTTTGACATATATATTATTTGAATATTTTTTATTAAATTATAACATACAGGGTGCACTAATCTTAAGTGTATAACTCATTAAACACACAAACAACCCCATGAAACAATACTCAATCAAGATAAAAAACATTCCTTGAATCACAAATGTTTCCCTTTTGCCCCTTCTCAACCCAAACTGCTTCTTACCCCTGCACAGTGGTAACCAATATTCTGACTTCTATTAGCATAATTATGCTCATCGGCTCTTAAATTTCATAAAAAATAAAATCATAGTTTCTACTCTAGTGTCTGGCACCTTTTACTCAACATTATGTCTGGTGGATTAATTCATATGGTTTTGGTGGCAGTGGTTCATTTTTTTTAACTGCTGTGTAGTATTCCACTATATGAATATCTCACAATTTACTCATTTTACTGTTGATATGAATAACCTTTAAAATGCAAAAAGTCTATGCAAAAAAAAAATCATTAAAAATAATATGAAAAAATACTTATGATACTAATTTCATTTCTTACATGGAGGGCAAAAATTATAAGTATAGTTTGATTAAATATATTCTTAATACTCATATGCCCAGAATGCTAGTTGTGAGCAATAGTTATCTTTTGGTTTCAAAAATCTCTTTAAATCTATAATAGGAAAAATCAAAGAAAATCTAAATACATGGAGAGATGCTCCATGTTCATGGATAGGAAGACTTAATATTGTTTAGATGTCGGTTCTTCCCAGGTTGATCCACAGGTTCAAGGAAATCCCAATCAAAATCCAAGAGTTACTTTGTGGATATTGGCAAACTGATTCCAAGTTTACATGGAAAGACAAAAGACCCAGAATAGCCAACACAATATTGAAGAACAAAGCCAGAAGACTGACACTACCTGACTTCAAGACTACTATAAAGCTCCAGTAATCAAGACAGTGTGGTATTGGTGAAGAAACAAATAGATCAATGGAAAAGAACAGAAGCCCAGCAACAGACCCACATATAGTCAACTGATCACTGACAAAGGAGCAAAGGCAATAAAATGGAGCAAAATTAATCTCTTCAACAATGATGGTGGAAGAATTGGATGTCCACATGAAAAGAAATGAATCTAGACACAGACCTTACACCTTCATAAAAATTAACTGAAAATGGATCACAGACCTAAATGTAAAACATAAAACTAAAATTTCTAGAAGAGGGCTGGCCGAGTTGCGCATTGAGAAAGAGTTGGCTTGGGACGCCAGAGGGTTCCGGTTCGGATCCCACATATGAAGGCCAGTGACACTGCCCACTACAGCTAACATGCTGAACAACAGCTCAACCTGGAGCTGGGCTGCCGAGAGTCGCCGGTGATGGCGTAGGCTGCAGCCCCTGCTGCAGTGGGTTGCCATGAGCTACCGTGTGTAGCCAGCAGCCAGCATGAGTGGCCAGCAGCCGCGGTGAGCGGCCGGCCAGAAGCTGGCGACTGATCTGCCTCATCCGGGAAGAGCGCAATGATGGTGCCAAGTTGGGCCAGTGAAGCAACGTCCTCCACAACTAGGCTGAAGAACAAAAGGACAGCAACTTGTCTGTTCCCCTTCCCCCAATTTCCCAGTGCTGTTCCCATCCCCTAATTTCCCAATAAAAATCTTTAAAGATAAAAATAAATAAA